TTAACGTTTTACTGACGAATTGCTGAGAAAATCAATACGATATACAGTCATCATACTGATTTTTTGAGATCCCGTACATGGCTTTCGCCAAAGTGCGCGCTAATTGGCTTAAATGTTTCCAGTGTTCCGTCTTGTTATAAACTTAAAAATTATAAAATATTTTTAGATATATATCCAAAGTCCAAATTTCCGTTATCTTATTAACGTTTTACTGACGAATTGCTGAGAAAATCAATACGATATACAGTCACCATAGTGCTTTTTTGAGATCCCGTAGATGGCTTTCGCCAAAGTTCGCGCTAATTGGTTAAAATTTTTCCAATTTTCCGTCTTGATGTATCCTGAACAATTATAAGATATTTTTAGATATATATCCTAAGTCCAGATTTCCGTTATCTTATTAACGTTTTACTGACGAATTGCTGAGAAAATTAGTACGATATACAGTCAACATAGTGTTTTTTTGAGATCCTGTTCATAGCTTTCGCCAAAGTGCGCGCTCATTGGCTTAAATGTTTCCATTGTTCCGTCTTGATATATCCTTAAAAATTATAAAATATTTTTAGATATATATCCAAAGTCCAAATTTCCGTTTTCTTATTAACGTTTTACTAACGAATTGCTGAGAAAATCAATACGATATACAGTCATCATACTGATTTTTTGAGATGGCGTTCATGGCTTTCGCCAAAGTGCGCGCTAATTGGGTGAAATGTTTCCATTGTTCCGTCTTGATGTATCCTTAACGATTATAAGATATTTTTAGACCTATATCCTAAGTTTAGAATTCCTTTGTGTTATTAGCGTTTTAGTGACGAAATGCTGAGAAAATCAATACGATATACAGTCATCATACTGATTTTTTGAGATCCCGTTCATGGCCTTCGCCAAAGTGCGCGGTAATTGGCTGAAATGTTTCCATTGTTCCGTCTTGATGTATCCTTAAAAATTATAAAATATTTTTAGATATATATCCAAAGTCCAGAATTCCGTTGTGTTATTAACATTTTACTGACGAATTGCTGAGAAAATCAATACGATATACAGTCATCATACTGCTTTTTTGAGATCCCGTTCATGGCTTTCGCCAAAGTGCGCGCTAATTGGCTTAAATGTTTCCAGTGTTCCGTCTTGATATAAACTTAAAAATTATAAAATATTTTTAGATATATATCCTATGTATCTATAATTCCGTTAAATCATTAACGTTTTACTGACGAATTCCTTAGAAAAACAATACGATATACAGTCATAATAAGGGATTTTTGAGATCCCGTAGATGGCTTTCGCCAAAGTGCGAGCTCATTGGCTGAAATGTTTCCATTGTTTCGTCTTGAAATATCCACAAAGTGTATAAGATATTTTTAGACGTATATCCTAAGTCTAGAATTCCGTTATCTTATTAACGTTTTACTGACGAATTGCTGAGAAAAGCAATACGATATAC